GATTGGAGGTTGGAGCTTCTCCCAGTTCTGAGGTAACCTAGGGCAGGACAATTGTGGACTGACTAATAAAACTCCTTTGTCAACTTTAACTGTGCTTCTGTATTTTCTCTGTCCCCGGTCATAATGAGGCCACTCCATGAGCCCTTTCTCCACCTGTTAGAGCAGGAGACTCGCTTTTGCCTCTGGGAGCTTCCAGATCCACTAATACCAGGCCAATCAACCTACAGTGCAAGCCTCACCCCACACACATCATGGCATCCCCAGACATGACAATCAGTGTGTCCCAGTAGCCCCTATCCTCAGAGTGCACTAGCTCCTGTGCATGGTTTTGCTGTTCTGGGGGAAGATGGGGGTCAGGGACCTGCTCTGGAAGGAGAAGGATACTCCCAGCATTCTCTGGGGCATGAGGAGGTCAGCATCAGCATAAGGGATACCTGGGTTTCCACTATAAGGGACAGCACACAGCTTTGGAATACTGCAGAACCTTGTCCTTGCCAGCCTGTGGCAGATCCTGAGCAGCAGGCCCAGAGCGGGGCAGGGCACTGGCAGGATTCATAACCTGCCATGGAGGGCTTCCTTTTCCTTCTTCCTCTGTTCACATGGATTGGGTTGATTTTCAGGTTAGATTATTTTTATGACTGTATGGCTTTAATATGTTAGTAAGTTTATCACTCTCTCTTTTTTTAAATAGAGGAACGATGGTTTGCAGAGTTGCATGTTAAGAATAAAAGGGAATGAAAAATGAATATAAATTTTCAATTTGGAAAAGTGTGTGAGGGTGTGTATGTGTGTGTGTGTATACCAGCATTTCAAATCCGGTCCCAAGCTCCCTTTCTAGGCATTCTTACAACTTGGCACTTGACCAGTTGAGAAATGCTTCCAGCCCCAGGATTTTATTTGTGAGTTAGAGATGGGATCTTATAGACTTTTCTGCCCAGGCTGGTTTTGAACTGGGATCTTCAGAGCCCAGCCTTTAAAGGGAGCCACAGGAATGTGACTCTGAAAAAAAATGTGATTAATATGTAAATTAACAATAAATTTAATAGTAAATTTCCACAAGTATGTGAAAATTTAATATACATTACTCGTCAATATTTTATAACAGTAGTATGTGTATGGTGTGTATTTTAGTCCAATATAAATGGAGATGGAACACTATTGGATCTTAAAAAAATCAGCAGAAAATAAAGCAGTAGAAGAACGGACACAATATCTTTGCTAGAATAGCTAAAGAAATTCAAAAAATCTAGTGTGGGTATTCTCTTCTCTTCTTCCATTTATTTTTGGAAATCCTTAGAGATTTGATCCAATAAGATGCACAAGTTGGCTAATTGTGAGTGCTGGGCATTGATTTTCCAAGGTCATATGGAAGTCAATGATGAGCCCATTCTTTCCCTCCTTCACTTGAATGTCTTCAGGACAGGTGTGGGTTCCATGTTTGTATCCTCAAGGACAGAGGCTGGCAGTGACCAGCTCCTGGTGCATTAGTCCTATGGACACACCAGGCTTGAAAAGGTCTTTGGTTCTTTACCCCTTGGTCATGGCTAAAGACAGAAGCAGCTTAACCCAGTAAATCTTTTATTTATTTATTTTGTTGGTGTTGGGGCTTGAACTCTGGGCCTGGGCACTGTCACTGAGCTCTTCAGCTCAAGGTGAGCACTCTACCACTAGAGCCACAGTGCCACTTGCGGTTTTCTAGTATTTTATTGAAGATAAAAGTCTCATGAACTTTCCTGCTTGGGCTGGCTTTGAACTATGATCCTCAGATCTCAGCCTACTGAGTAGCTAGGATTACAGGCGTGAGTCACCAGCACCCAGATGACTAAGAAACTCTTTGTTCTTCAGGTTTTTGTTTTGTGCTGGTTCTGAGAGTTGAACTCAGGGTCTGGGTGTTGTTTCTGAGCATTTTTTTCTGTGTGGAAGAGCTAGTGCTCTGCCATTTTTTTTGAACCACACATATATTTCCTTTTTTTCAATTTTTTATCATTAATTTTTTATTGTGAAAACACTGTACAGAGAGATTACTACATGAGCAAGGTAATGAGTACATTTCTTATCAAGCATTGTTGCCTCCTCCTTTGTTTTTCCCTTACCATCCCTGCCCTCCCATTTCCACGACTACCCCCCACCCTGCCAAAATTGTAAAGTTCATTTTTTGACATAGCATCTTGTACATTTCATTGTTGCAATGGGTCCATCTGTATCCCTATTTAAACAATTGTTTTTTTCCCTTCCCCTCCCCAAATTATACCAACATCAAATACAGTGAAAACAGGGCTATACTGTGGGGGAGGGACATACAAAGCAACCAAAAAATCACCTTATAAATAGAAACAATTGTTAGAAACAATAGCAAGAGAGAAAAACAACTTGAGTCCTTATCTTGGGGTTCATTTCACCTAACATCAACTTATCTGATCTTTTCTGCTTGTCTCAGACATATACTAGTTCTTTCAAATAAGCATTATTCACCATAGCTAAGATATGGAACCAATCCAGATGACCCTCAGTAGATGAATGGATCAAGAAAATGTGATATATATATACACACACAAACACAATGGAATTGTATGCCTCCATCAGAAAGAATGGCATTGCCCCATTTGTTAGGAAATGGAAAGACTTGGAAAAAAATTATATTACGTGAAGTAAGCCACAGATACACTTCTGGCTTTTGTTGATTCATTGGAGATAAAAGACTCGTGAACTTTCCTGCCCCAGGCTGGCTTGGAACCCTGTTCCTCACATCTCAGCTCTCAGAGGAGCTAAGTTTACAGGTCTGAGACACTGGGGCTCAGCAAAGAGTGAGTGATTTTAATGTAACTTGTAAGTGTTTAGACACAAACTGTTACAGCTGTGTTTGCAATGTGCTGGCTGCTTCTGGACATAAGGTATGAGACCAGGATAATTCTGGTAGGTTGTCCTCTTTAACAGGGCAAATATCCATTGTATATCGCTGAGACTCCAGGAACAGGTCCCTTGTATCCTAGATTCTCTTCTTAGAAATTTCTTAATGCTTCCTTCCTCTTCTAGTGGAATGTGATGAATGTATAATACAAGGGTAAGTATTATTAGTAGTATAACGTGATAAGTTTAGACATAATAAAAGGCAAACATATGATTGAATCTGAAGCTTCCTTGTTCTCATTTCTCTAGTGGGCAACTGATCAGAGACTCCATAGACATTTGACATGGTAGTCTAACACTCATTCACTTTTTTTAGTTATGTTTTGGTTCTCATTAAGGCTTTATTGTAGCAAAACCTATCAATGCACCAATGTTGTATACATACTTATCCAACAATAGTAGTCATTAAATAAGCACCTATGTAGAACAGTGAGCACTCTCTTCTTTGATTTACTGTGACTGGGAACAATCTGTGTGGCTTCAGACATTTCTGTCTTTGTGCAGATGCTTTTCTACCTTCCAGCAATGACCCAGCAGAATAAGAGACAGCGCTGTGTGTGTGTCTCTGTCATGCAAATGTGGATGAGCTCACTCCACTGAGGCCCAGCTACAGCATTGAACGATGTCAAGATCCCTGGACTCTGAGACATGTGCTAACTTGACTTTTGCCCTCCTCCTGGCTGTAGATTATGTTGGTGTCCTGACAATGTCCCACTTCAAGTTCCTGAACATTTCTAATTTCTTCAGGGACTCTTCTGAATTGTTGAATCACTCTTATTCTCGTAGAATCTTAAAGGACCCTGAGAGATATTGAGTCTGAACCTATCTAATGTTTTGTCATCTCTTTTTCTCTTATGATTAATGATTCTGTTTCTCTATCCATTAATATTGAGTATCTTTAGGGCCTGGGATGACAAGGCTCAGCTTGGGCAACTGCACTCTGTAGCTTCAGCTAGCTGTTTTGTTGGACAGCTCTAGTTATGTTGGTGCATGGTATGTCTTCCAGAGAAAAGTGCACATGGGAAAGTGGAGCAGATTAACAACCAATTCTAAAACTTTTAAGGAAGAAAGAGAAAGAGCGTGAGAGAGAATTTAAAAAAAACAACACACCCAGTGATGTGGCAAAACAGAAAACATGTGAACAGAAATACACAACTGGGTCAGAAAATGTACTCTAGTTATTGTAATCAAAACATGAAAACTTTCCCCAAGACAAATTTTCTTGAGTCAGTGAGCTTAGCAATGTAGTGATATTCAAGCAGCAATATAGTCTATGTAGGAAAAGTAATGAAGACAGGGAACTAAAGGAAAGGAAGAAGCTCAGTAGAAAATGTACTCAAAAGGACAATTGATAACATAAATGGCAAATTCTATGGGAAGTAGCATAGTATATCCAGGATGAAATGCAAATATAAAATGTCTTGGTGGAACCTTGCTGTGACTCTAACATAAGCAGCAAAATGAATAAGAGTAACTTCCTTTTCAAGAAATTCCTCAAGTAAAACTGTTTTTTTTCTTTTTTTATTATAAAAATGTAGAAAAGGGTTACAGTTACATGAGTAGGGTCATGATCACATTTCATAGCCAGCATTAGTTATCTCCTCCTTTATTTTCCCCATACCATCACTTCCCTCCCTGCCTCCTCAACTAGTCCCACTACTCTCCCCCACCCCGACAATGTAATGTTAGTTTACAATATAGTGTCCTGTACATCTCATCATCACAATGGGTCAGCCTGTATCCCCATTTAAAGGTTCTGCAATATAGTTTTCCCTCCCCAAATTACAAAAATGTATATACAAGGTTCAGAACACTGGCATCAAATCCAGTGAAAACAGGGTTTATACCATGGGGGAAGAACATACAATAAAAACAAAAGAATCATACAGTGCATTGTAAGTACATTAAAAACACTAGCAAGCAAGCAAGGAAAAAACCTCTTGTGTTCCTGTCTTGGTGTACATTTTGCTTACCTTGTTTCATGTGGTCATGTACATAGCCTTTGACCTTCTTTGCTTGTCCTAGACATGTACCAAAATAGTATAGATTGGTCTCAGAACCTCTAATTCACCTAGGCAACATTTATGTTCATGTTAAGGTTCATTTCTTCCAGATTGTGATCTCTTCCCGAATCTCTGCAAAGTATTTCTCTCAGGTCTCATCAAGATGATGTAGCACTTGGGGACAAAGATGCAGCCCAGGAGGCCTGCACTGGAGACCAAGATGGAGAAGACCTCCACGGCCACCATGACCTTCCCCTTTGCACTGTGGTAGACAGGCAGGAAGCTGAGCCACACACTGAAGAACACCAGCATGCTGAAGGTCAGGAACTTGGCCTCGTTAAAGGTGTCAGGCAGGTTCCTGACCAGAAAAGCCACCACGAAGCTGGCCAGGGCCAGGAAGCCCAGGTATCCCAGGACACAGTAAAAGGTGATGAGAGAGCCCATGTTGCACAGGATGATGATGTGGCCATGTTCAGAGTGTGCATCTGTGTCCACAAAGGGAGGAGAGATTCCCAGCCACAGGCCACAGAGAGTCACCTGGATGAGGGTGCAGATCGGGATAATGAGGTTAGGAACCTGGGACACCAGCCACTGCCTTGTGCTTCTCCCTGGAGAAGTGAGCATGAAGGCCAGAACCACAGTGATGGTCTTGGCCAGGACCGTGGAGACAGCCACAGTGAAGACCACTGCAAATGTGGTGTGTTGTAGGATGCACAAGGCTGGGTGGGGACGGCCAAGGAAGAGCAAGGAGCAGAGGAAGCAGCAGGTGAAGGAGATGAGCAGGAGGTAGCTAAGGTCCCGGTTATTGGCTTTGACAATGGGGGTGTCTTGGTGCTTGACAAAGACTCCAAGAACAGCACAGATGAGTGCAAAGAAGCAGAGAGCCATGCAGGCCAGACCTATGCCCAAGGGTTCTTCATAAGTCAGGAAGCTTTCAGCTTTCATCAGGCAGCAGTTTCTTTTGGTGTTGGCAAAGTGATGATCCGGACACTTCACACATTGGTTCATGTCTGGTGAGAAGTGAGAATCACTATTAATCTGTGTTCAATATTTCCTCTCAGGCCCCTTAGCTCAAATGGCCTCATTTGGCTACTTAGCCAATTGACCTGTTGACCGAATGAAATAATTGTCAGTACAATATTGTTGTAGGTGAATTTTCTTTCTTTCATACATTTTTCCTTCTTTCCTTCCTTTCCCTCCTTCCTTCCTTCTTTATCCTGCTTCCTTCCTGACCATCCCTCCCTCCCTCCCTCCTTCCCTCCCTTCATTTCTTTCTTTCTCTCTCTCTTTTCTTTTTCTTTGTTTCTCTTTCTCTCTTTCCTTCTTTTCATTCATTATCTCCTTCTATATTTCTTTCTTTCCTTTTTCTTTCCTCATTCTCATTCCTTCCTTCCCTGTCTTTTTCACTTGCTTTCTCTCCTTTCTTTTTCTCCTTCCTTCCCTTCATTTTTTGTTTACTCTTTCAATCCCTCTCTCTCTCTTTCCTATTTCTCTCTTTCATTCTGTCCTTCTTTTCTTCCTTTGCTTCTTGCTTCTCTCTTTCCTCCTGTCTCTCTCTCCTTCTCTTTCTTTCTCTCCTATCTTTGTTTCCTTTTTCTCTTTTTTATCTTCCTTCTCTTTCCTTCCTTCCTTCTCTTTCTCTTCTTTCTTCTCTTTCTTTTCTTTCTTTCCTTCTCTCTTTCTTTCCCCCTTCCTTCCTTCCTTTTCTTTCTTTTCTTCTTTTCCTCTTTCCTTCCTTCCTTCCTTCCTTGCTTCCATCCTTCCTCCCTCCCTCCCCCTTCCTTCCTTCCTTCCTTCCTCCCTCTCTCCCTCCCCCTACCTTCCTTCCTTCCTTCCTTCCTTTTTTCCTTTTTCCTTCCTTCCTTCCTTCCTTCCTTGCTTTTTCCTTCCTTCCTTTCTTTCTTTCTTTCTTTTTTCTTTCCTTTTTTCTTTCTTTCTCTCCAGGATTTGAACTCTGTTCTTAGGTATTTTTCTCTAGTATTTATGCTCAAGTTTAGCACTCTAGCAGTTGAGCCACAGCTCCACTTTCAGTCTTTTTGGTGCTTAATTGTAGACAAGAATCTCATGGATTTTACTGCCCAGGATTGCATGAATCTCCATCCTCAGATCGTAACTTCTTGAGCAGCTAGGATTATAGGTGTGAGCTACAATAACCTACCAATATATGCCTGCATTCTAGAGAGCTCATATTACTCTGGCTGTTTGTTACTTGAGAGATCAAAAATAAGTTTAGCAGTAATTTCAGAAAAAACTAAAACATTTGTCATCTGTTACTGGAAAGTAAGTGTTAGATCATGCACCAAAGAAAGATAACAGTAAGAATTATTAAGGGATCAGTCTGCCCTGACCATTCCAGGAATTTGGGCAGTCTCTCCCCCCACAACTCTGTTGAGAAAACATTTAGGACAAGACATAATTCAGCATTCCTGTGGTTAGCCCCACTTATCCAACCAATGATGTATGATTTAACCTATCCTTAACTGATAAGTTAAAAAGTCCCTGTCCTTACTGGAAATGATCATGCCCCTAACCAATGAACTTGACATCCTTCCCCCTGTTACATACTCAATAAAAGCCCTGCTAAACATGTGGTCGGGGCTTGCAACTCTGACCTGCTGCATTGGTGATGATTGTGAGTCCAAGCTCGAGCTTGCAAATAAACGAATCTTTTGCTATTTGCATTGGTCGTGGTCTCTGGTGGTCACTAGGGGGTCTTGAGTTCGAGTTGAACATTGCTCATTCAAGAAATAATGGAGAGCAGAGAATCAGCCCACTCATGTCAGTTTTAATGGGAGTGTCTACACCTCACTGCAACCCACTTCTCACACCAAACACAAGCTTCCTGAGCACTTGTTCCCTGTCAAGAGCAATGCCCCTTAACGAAAATAAGAGAGGGTCTGGGGAGGATGAGATGAAGGAGGGAGAAGAGAAATGAAATGGAGTTGGTAATCTAGTTCTGATATTTCAGTAGCTGGTTGTCAAACTAGTGCCAGTGTCAGGTATGGAATGGTCATAGCAAAGTGCTGGGTATTACTAATAAAGTCAAAAATAAAATGTAATTAAATAAGAGCAGTGCTGGACACTCAGAAAGGAAAGGCTGTGTTAGACCCACAAATTCATTATGATCTGTATTTTGTTTCCAAGATTAAGGCATAGTCCTTGATATTGTATTTTTGATATTGTATTCAAATCTAAGATAAGTGACCAAGAAAAGGGGAACAGGGATATTCTTAAGATAAAGCCTAAAATGTCCTAGAAAATGTAATCAGATACATAATGGAGAAGCAATGGGTTGAGTTATTCCAAGGAGAAATATGGTTAACGGTAGCCATGGAACTCATTGTGAAGGCCTAAGTGTGTTCCTGCAGTGCTACTGCAGATCTCTTCATTGACTTGTATGGACTGAAGATAGGGAACTTCTCTGTAAATCACAGACTCACCTGTGGCATTAGAAATCTCATTCTCTGGGCAAGGGGTGCAGTCAAAACAGCAGATTGCATTTGTCTCCTGAGGGGCCTTCCTGAATCCAGGACCACATCTCTCAGTGCAGAGAGACTGAGGATTCTGAGGAAATCCAGATGACTGTTAATGATTATTCATCCTTTTTACCCATCATCCCAGACACCCCAGTGCGTGAAAGAAAAAGGTCACTAAGCAGCAGCATCTCTACGTACATACAGCCAAGACATCAGTTGGATCTTCTTACAGTTTCATGTAAGATGATTGTAAGACAATGTAGGATCTTGAACCCCAGCCCTTCATATTCTCATGAAGTGATGGGAGCCTTTGAGAAGTGGAGCTTAATTGTAGGAAATTAAGAAACAGGAAACAAATTTGTTCTCAGATTCTTGAATACAGGTCATGTGTCTACTCTCTTAGTCATCTGTGAACATGTGGAGAGCAGTAGCAGAAAATCACACAGTGAAGCTTCAGATCCATTGTCTAAAGCACTGCTAATCCCGTTGAAGGGACTGCTGTATCAAGGGCTATTCACATCTCTCTCTGGCTTCCAAGTTGCCATTAGGTGGTGTCCACTGGCGGATGCAACTTCCCTTACGTCCTGTCTCATACAGACTCATGGTCTACCTGACCATGGGCTGAAATCTCCAGTCCAGAACCAAGCAAACCTTTCTCCTTCTCATCTGATACCCTCCTATGTTTTAACACAGTTCTGGAAAGCTGATTCACATGTGTCATTTCTCTTTTCTTTTATTCAATATGCAAGCATGTAATAACATATTAGTAATTACATGTTCTCCTATTCTGTCCATGAGTCAGTAAGAAAGTTCCAGAAACAGTACTTTCTGAAATGTACACCACTGAGCCATAGTTTAGGTGAACAGCTTAAAAATGGGAAAAGTTCATTGCTTATTTACACAGAGATCATGACATTAAGGTTAGAAATGACCACCTCTGGGGGAGAAATAAGGATGTGGTGACAGTGTCAAACAACCATTTTATTAATAACAGGACTTAGGGAATTGTAATCTTTCTCTACAACTACTCAATAATAATAATAATATTTAAAAATACAAGAGTGAAAAAAGTAGAAATGACTTACCTTGATATAGTCTATGGGCCACTCTATCAGATTCTCAAACAAAATCAGTTGTTGACCTTGTGGCCTAGATGGAGTAAACTTGCCAACATTCACCCTTTGTCCAAGACCTTCTGGAAAATTCCAAAAGGTCACAATGTCATATTCTGCTTCCAATTTCTTTTGCTCATTCAAAACCACTTGTTCTTCGGCAGGATTGGTAAATTGGATCTTCTTCAAGAAGAGATTTAGCTAAAAGACACACATTACACTATGGTGAATTGCTTCCCAGAGTGAATGCAGAAACCCAGAATAATGTACTGGTGGTGATTTAGCTTTCCTTCCGCCATGCAACTAACACATACCACAGGAGTCCAATCAAATAGAGCTGATGTAGGCCTATGGAGGTCTAAATTGTTACCAAGGCTCTAAAACTTGGTGAATCGAGATAGAATGCAGAAACTGAATTTTAAGAGATTAAAACTTCAGCCACATCCACCTGAACAATGAATTACATTAAGACAGACCTCAACTGCCTTTTTCCAGCCAACACAGCCACTCATTTTATAGATGTGATCAGAGAGTCAGTGTGAAAATAGATAAACAATGGACTAAAAACTCCTTAAGAACTAAACATAAATATCCTATTTATGTTTAGAATATTTGTGACAACAGTGAATGATTACCTTAAGCAAGACTTAGTTTATTGCATGTCTGTGTGTGTGTGTGTGTGTGTGTGTGTGTATGCGCGTGTGTGTATGGGGGAGTGGCACACAAATACCTATTCTGGGGTTGAACACAGGGCCTGGGCACTTGCCTTCAGTTTTGTTTTATTTGTTTCTCAAGGCTAGCATTTTTCTACTTGAGCCACAGCTCCATTTTTGGGTTTTGGTTGTTAATTGGAGATAAGCATCTCACATACTTTTTTGCTTGGGTCAGCTTTCAACTGAAATCTACAGATCCCAGTCTCCTAAGTGTCCAGAAGTAAGCCACAGGTGTGAGCTATTTGTGGCCAGAAAATCTTAGGGTTCCTGGTACTAGTCAACACTGAACTGTTATTTTAAACAGCACCAAGAACAATTTGGATTTATTCTGTCAAAAAGACCAGGGCTTTTTCCACAAGAAGTGAGGGAAAGAAAATAGCATTTCCTTATCAGGGATGTTGTGTTCTCCAAGAACATTGTCACACAGCTCTACAGTCACTTCATGGAGAGTACAACAGGCCCAGTGTCTCTTGTTCTTTCCCCAAAGGAGCCAGCCTGCTTTGTTCCAACAAGTAGGAAAGCTTGTAGAAAGTTATACCTGGAGCAGTCACCCAACAGAAAAGTCATTACCTGTGAAGACAGAATTGCCTTTGGTTGCTCATTGTGTGCTGGTGGCTCTTCTGTTTGATGAAGAAGCATCTCATGGAGGGCATGGGACACAGCATAAATGGCGTTGTAGATATTGTAACTCTCTTCTGACAAGGACATGTCAAAAATGTGCCCCAGCAACCAGTCCAGTGTGGCATTGTATGAACATTGCCCCAATTTTGTATAGTCAGATTTTATCAGTATGCAAGGAATAGACTGAATCCATAACCTAGCAAAAGAAATATCTTCTGAGTTCTTGGAAAAGTTAGCTCTTGGGATAAAACTGGTGAACCCAGAATTGTTTCTATGGTGAGAGAAGATGAGAGGTGCATGGAAGGAATCTATCAGGAAATAGGTTTTACTGATGGTCACATCATCATAAGGTGAGTTCATGACCCAGGCTTTCCCTGTAATTAAAAAATGCCCTAATTTAAGAATAAAGCTTAGTAGAAAATCACTGTCTCCATAAATGATAATCACATTGGTTGAGGATTCCATAATATGGCGATACACTGATGAATCATTTGAGAAATCAGAGATTGCATTGGCCTGGATTGAGTTCTCAAAGGCAAAATAGATTCCATTCCTGCCCATCTCCTCTCTCAATTCTGAGAGAAACCTCACACCATAGTCGTCTTCGGTGATGAACACTCCCACCCAGGTCCAGCTGAAATGAACCATCAAGGAGACCATGGCCAGGGCTAAAGATGAGTCCTTGGCAGCCATCTGATAGATAGCAGCAAACTGTCTATGGTCACCCAGGAGAGGATCAAAAGACCCAAAGATGAACTAAAAGGAGAAAAATGAACACAACACCAGGAAGAGGATGGTCATTGTCAAAGACTTAGTCCTGATATGAACAACAACAACAACAAAAGCTGGCAGTGGGGAGGGGGAGTGAAGTTTTGCTTATCCCATTTGTAAAGTCATCTCCCACTATCTAAATTGTAGAAATGTATAGATCACAGCCTGAGGTCATCCTTTGCTCTCTTAGAACTTCTCCTTTTTTTCCTCTCGAACAAAGACAATGTGGATGCCCCACCCAACTTTGTTATCTTTCCTGGAGACCATTCATTTTGAGAGGTTCAGGATAGGGCTTATTCTTTCTCTCTTCCTCATCCTGTGGAGGGCAGAGTCCATGTGGGCATGGCTTCACATCTCCCCACCCCTCCCAGACTCACCTGTGGAAGTTTGTAGAGGTCCAGCAATGTTCTGATTGGGACAGATGTGCTTGACGATCCTGTGAGTACTGCTAAAGCTTTGCTGTCTCTTCTGCAGGTGTAATTGGGGTTGTTTTTATTCTTCCCAGACAGCCAGATAAGTGGATTCTCTAACACATCAGTTTCTACATAATGTGCAATATAGATCTCAAACCCCAGAGTCATGTTGGGTAAAAGTTGGGGATTCTTGTTGATCTCTTCAACAGCAAATGTCAGGGACAGGACCAACTGGTATTTCTTTAAGTTGATCCTGCACAAAACCACAGAATTTGGGGAGAGCTATACCTGTATTAGAAATGATTAAGTTCAAATCTCATGACTTTGTTGAATGGAATGCTTATCTCTACACAAAGTCAAATGTTTAGACCCTCCCTTCAAGAAGGATGAAGTTAGAACATGGAGTCCTAGGAAAGTAATTAGAATAGGGAGAGCTCTTGCAACAGGCTTCGATCAACATACACTAGACTGCTGCTTTTCTGAGATCACAGAGAGAGGGAGAGCTGGCTTTTGCTTTATGTCATGGGAGGAGACATGAGAAACCATACTGTCTGGGAGATGGGAACACGCCCAGCTCACATACCAAGTCATTGGATCTGCATACAAAGAAATTCTTCAGAAATATGATTCAAATTGAGAGCAGTGCACCTGAGCTCAAGGTTTTGTGTCGAGGGGCAGGGCCTGCTGCCATAGCAATAAATAACAAAGCAGGCTGCCTGCTCCATGTCCTTGCTTGCCAGGTTTGGGCTGATGGCCCACCCTTCTGTGCAGAAGTAAATTTTTCCTTGTGAGATAATTAAAAAAATATAATTCAGGTCATGTGAGTACAGGCAGACTGAGCTGACATAAAGAACATCAACATTCAAGATGATCAGCCAGAAGCAGACAAGATGGCAGCCAAGGAAGATTGAACCAGCAAGTCCTGCATCTCTCCCCAAAGAACAGATGATAAATTCAGGAGTGTGGACCCGAGGACCTCCTCTATTAGAGCAAAAGAACAGAGAAGGATGTGCGGGCAAAGGAGAAAGTAAGCCATCTCCATGTTCCTCCCCTCCACTAGTGTTAGTAGCTTAGCACAAACAGAGACCCCTCCCACATTGCAAGGAGGGAGATAATAAAAGTTAAATCAAAGCAGCATATCCATGTACAGACTGCAGTGCTGGAGAAATGTCCTATAGTCTCTACTCCTGGGTCTACACCTTTAGATTGTGCCTGTAGAACTGTGTCAGTACACAACCTTCCTCCCGCAATCTCATGAATGGCAGCAAGTATTTGGACACAACTTCATGGGGAGCATGGCCTGGGAGCTGTGTCAGAGTTTTTCTTAGAATCCCATGTCAGGCATGCCATGGCTGGAGCAATAATCCAGAAGAACCCATAGGTGCTGTGTGGTTCCAGGACCAAAACTCCCAGTAGAATCTTTCAGGAGATGTCAGTAGATCCCTCAGGTAGGACCAAAGGCCATCTACATCAGTTTCCACCAGGCATGTAGTATAGTGTCAGCTCTCCTACCTGGCTTAGCCCCAGTCTTGGTGGAAAGTGGATCATCTCCACTTTAATCCCCAACCTCAGGGACCACTTCCTGCAGAAGGACAGTGCTCAAGATGGAACCAGGCAGAGACCTATGCAGCTAGCTCTAGGTCATGATTGTGTGTTGGTCTACAGCATCACAAGGTGGGGCGTGGGCCTCAGTGGACCCACGTGACAGTTTGGGTTCACTCACTAGGAGACTGAACCTGGATGCAGGGTGGTGTCCACCAAGATGGCCCAGTGGCTTCCTTTATAAACCTTAATGAGCTGCTGTGATAGCGCATGGTTCTCGGTCCCATTACTTTTTTGTTCTTTGTTCCAGTTTTGGGACTTGAACTAAGGGCCTGAGTACTGTTCCTAAAGTTCTTTTGCTTAAGGTTAGTACTCTACCCCCTTGCGCCACAGTGCCACTTCTGGCCTTTTCTGTTTATTTGGCACTGGGGAATCGAAACAAGTGCTTCGTGCATGCTAGGCGAATGCTTTACCACTAAGCCACCTTCCCAGCCCTCCATCCCACTTCTTTTGAGCTTGTCAGTAAGCTTGTCAGTAAGATGGTGATTTTGTTCCAAAGCTTAGTGTGTGCTGCTTGATAACACTGGAAGGTTGTTATGACACCCCCATCCAGGACAGCCTCTGGGGGAGTTCTGGAATCACCCTAGTACTTTAAAAGACATCTGCCATCAGCTAATCAGACTTCTATTTCAGTGATCACTGACTGTGGCTGGCTGTGGCAGTCTTTGTTCTTGAGCACACCCCCACCACATACAGGTTGCAGGCCTTGGTCCTCAACTATCACTGTGCTGGCCTGATTGCAATGGACTGAGGATGTCCTACTGATGCAGGGTAGACCAGGGAAAACAAGGCAAGTTTTATGCATGCCAGGAATTCCAAAACTAAGCCTAAAGTGTGTCCATCTACTTCCCTTAAGATTAAGTGAAGACAGTTATTTGGGGGTAGAATGAAGCAGGGCAGACTAAGGGAAAATGAGGTATGGTAAGATTACAGCAAATACAGAAATATTCATTCATCTACTTCCCTTTAGAATAAGGGACCAAAGTCATTCAGGGGGACATGAAACAGGATACATTGATGAAAATCAGACCTGGTGAAAGCAGTTCAGAAACACAGTGTATGGAAACACAGAAGCATTATCTTTGCTTCAAAGAGAGACAATAGGATATATACATTCCTGGGAGACCCATTTCTCACCCCAAGAATGAATATTTGTCTGGCAGGATGTATGGCTTCCTGAGACAGTGCTCCCCCCAAATGTAAGCAACCACCTACCCGAAAATGAAGAGAACAGGATACATTTTTCATCCCAAGGAAAAGCTTGTATTTTATGAAGGTTGCATTCTTATCTGGAAACAATGCCCAAGACATCCAGAAACTCAGAAAGGGTAATACCAGTAGTGACTAGCAAACATAAAACACCTACCTTTGTATCACTTTGAAGGCAGACCCCTTCCTTTTACCCTATAAGTAACCCTGGCAGCCAGATAGCTGTGTGTCTCTCCTTTAGCACACCCACACTCTAATAGGAGGTGTATCTGCCTTTCTGTTTCCTTGTTTCCCTGCTTGTTTGCGTCTTTACTCAGTAAAGTTCTGCCACGTTTTCTTACCATTGTGATTTATCTAGAATTTCTTCTTCTGAAATCAAAGTCAAAGATCCCAAGTGAAGAGTCACTACTTTTAGAGGGAAATTTCATTAACCTTCACCTGTTTTGGTGCCCCTGCTGGTTGGTATTTCAGGTGACTAAGGCCTGTTCTGGCACACAGATCTTGCCAAAGCTACACAGAATCTCTTCACAAGGCTGTTCCTTGTGGACAAGGCATATGGGGTCCCTGTGCACCCAGGAGGAGGCATACTTGGACCTATGACTCATTAGAGTTCTCTTGTTTTTAGAACCACAGAGTATTTGTCACCAAAATTGCCTTTGGTTTTCTCTGGTACTGAAGTGGTTTATCACCTCACAGCTGACTTCCCTCAAGGCCTGCGCTCCCTCTAGTGGTGCCATTGTGCAAGTCACTATAGACTCAGGAACACCAAAGCCTGCCTGTAATTTCTGGAAAGACAAGCACAAAGCCAGAGCAAGCCGACTGGTGTAATTCAGAAACATTTCAAAGGCCATATGGTATCACATGCCAATATGAATCAAGAATGTTCCACAACTATGAATTCTCCTAGGATTCAATATAATCGTTTTGGTGAAATTCATATAGACAAAAGCTCAATTCTCATGGTTTTTTGTTGATGTCCTTTTGTACAATATAACTGTGAGGTTTGATAGCTAGAATGTCAATCATAATAAACATTAATCAGCCACTGGTGGCTCAGGCCTGTAATTATGGCTACTAAAGAGGCTGAGATCTGAGGATTATGTTTTGAAGTAACTTTGGACAGGAATGTCTGTGAGCTTATTATCTCACACAGAATCTAGTAGCAGGGCTGTGGGTGAAGTGGTAGAGTGCTAGAAAAAAATGCAAAGGGACAGCCCTCAGGACTTGAGTTCAAGCCTGAATACTAGAGAGTATGTGTGCACATGTGTGAGCATGTGTGAGCATGTGCATGTGTGCACATGCACACATGGGGATGCACGGGCCTGGTGCGTGTGCTCACACCACATGGAGAACTCAATTAGAGAATGGACAGAGCAGAAGAAATCTCTGACATCTCCCATCTCCTATGGGGATACATTTCTAAAGCTGTGTTTACACATGAGCCCCATCTTTCTCACTCACTTCCTCACCACGTTCAGTTGGCTTCAATATCCCTCACAAATCTCTCATGGAAGAAAGTATTCTTCTCCTGAACAAAGCCTATACAGGGTGTTTCCACACAAATTGTCTGAGAAAATTCCTCTGTGACTTCCCTAGTTTACAGGGAATTCTGTAGATCTGAAAGTAGTGAGCTCACCTGGGTCAAATGCATGAATGAAAGTGTGTATAAAACATATGAAAAAATTCAAATCCAGTTCATGAATTTATAAGTAGGGGAAAAGAAAGAAAGACTGGAAAAACGTTTGAGAACAAGAAATAGAAGAAGAGCTTTTGGGAATCACATAGGGGATAGGCTGAGACATGGACAGCAGGACAGAGGCTCACATACATTAGTTAAGGGGAAAAAAATCAAATGTGTCATGAATGTTTTATTCCAGATCGGACCAGCAGCTCCCCATTCCCAGAGCTTTGCTGACATGAAATAACCCCACCCAGAAGCAGAAACTGCATGTCTATCCTAGGAAATGATGCCCTGAAGGAGGCCCAAACATTGGTCCTGTTTTGAAAAGTATAAAAAAAACAGAATTGATTGAAGATTCCCTGGCCTTTGACCTATGGATGGGGACATTGTGTGTTAGTATGGACTCTTGGTCACCTCATTGACCCTGAGCCAGGACAGATCAGGCTAGAGGAGTCACAGTGATTGTGGGGAGGTCAGGACAGCCCTGGGAAAGGGGAGTGGAATGAAAGACAGACAGAGATCTCTCTGGAGAAAGGAAGAAAAATATTCATCAGGAAAACCTGAAGTAAAGTAGAGCTGAGGTGGTGACGGCAGTGTAGAAGATTCAGAGAATGTCAATGGATGGAACCAAACTTCCCCCACCCCTGACTGGTAACCAAACAGAAAATGCAAATTTTAAGAAAACCCAATATAATCACTTACTGAAGGCTCTGTTGCTGCAGGGCAGGATCATTCATGTTGCGAACGAATTCCCAAGAATAAAGGGGGAAAAACCCAGCAATCTCCACAACTCCCCTGCTGTATGCCACAGATTTTTCTGTGTAAATGCATCTCACATATTCAGAGGAACTGACCAAAAGTGGATGCTGAAGGAGAAGCAGTGTCAGAGCCACAGGGAACATTGCTGCTGCTTTGGCGTGGAGATAGGATTCTGGCTGCAGACTGAGCCTCGAGTGTCAGGTGGGTATCTAAATGGATCACTAGTTTCTGTGACTTCTTGTTACCTGGATGGCCACTGGGATGCACCACTGGCCTCCTCCACTGTCCTAGAGGAATACAGAGCCCATCCTGCCCTCCAGCTCTGCATCTGGGGTCCAGGCTCAAGGTCAAAACACAAGTTGGAAAACATGTATACCATCTTTCTCTCCACACCCTCAGGGCTGTGATTTCATCCAAGACTGTAGATAGTAAAACTCCAGGGATGGATTCTTTTCTTGTTGAGTTGGTCACAAACTTGTGTGAAAGCAAAAAGTTGAAAAGAAAACAAGCACACAAAATGAAGGTTCATAAGAAAATCACTACAGATGGATGAGAATGGATGAGACTAGAGGATGCCATGTGAAGGTCAATAAGTCGAAGAATGCCATGGCCAGAAAAGCCCAGTCAGAGTTATTGGAGCACAATGAAAGATCAGGATGGGCAGACTCACAAACCAGAGCCAAGGGAGCCACAGAAGTTTGGTGAAATGACCCATTAAGGTTTCCAAACCAACTGCACATGCACAAGCATCCAGAAGTGGTCAATGCACTTATTTACTGCTGCAGGAGTTACCAAAAATCTCCCTGAATTCAAACATTACAGATCAATACTTCAAGGTCAAGGTACGGATCCAATTGGACTTTGCATTTGGAACCTTGAACTTCTTCAGTGCTTGCATGTCTTTGACCAGCAGAATGCATCTATCAATACATTGTGGCAATCCATGGTCTATGACTTTCTGGGAACATAGCAGGCCTGCCCTCTGAGGATCCTGGTAGCTGTGGGTATATGGATGGACCTTGATCTGCTGTGTATCCCTGTCATGTCTTGAGTGCTCTGGGAATTCTTGTTCACACTTGGACAGCCGTGTGGTGCCAGCTCTGTCCATGTCTCCCTACCTGTCTCCTCTATTCATTCCTCATACTAGAAGTGAAACCAAGGTCAAAGTGCAGGTTCCTGCTCTGCACAGAGTTCACCATGGTGGCTGGTTCTCTGATCTAGCTCCGTATATTTATCAGGAAAAGCTTGGCAAAAGTATGTTGGAAAAGTAAGGATGCAAATGCTACATGATACTGGTAGCCAGCAAGATCTTGCAAGAGGGTCAGTATTAGGGCCTAGCCTGACTTGGGTTCTGCGGTAGAAATTTTGTTGTTCCTATTCCCAGAATTACAGGTATCAGCCACCCGTGGCTGGCTCAGAGGACAAACATTTATCCTTTCCATATCTCTATTTCTGTTCAGTGTGCCCAGGAGAACAACCCCTCCCCACTTCCTCTTCACCTGCCTGAAACCAGTAGTCACCTGTCAATCACCTGATTGTGAGTCAGCAAAGGACCCCACACTCTGAGGTCACTTCCTTGTCTGCTGAGGTCACTTCCTGAACCACCCTGGTCACACTTCACTCCGATGAGTGGTTCCCTAGTTTTTAAGGTCACTTCTGCATCCACTGTGGTCCTGACTCAGCACAAATCCCCTTCTCTTTCTTTCTCTTCTTCTGTTTTTCCTTTTCCTCTGTCTTCTCCATGTGCTTCCAGCTACTGCGGATGGGCAGTTTGTCTTTTCTGTCTGAACCATGTGTCAGGTTTCCTTGCTGGCGAAGCTAACAATTTCTACTTCATTGTCATTGATATCTACTCTACTACTCTAAGACTTCTTCTGTCTACATTTCAAAAATGAGAAAAAATTTGGGGATCTGTGTTAGTTGATAATACATCTATCTGTCTGTCTGTCTGTCTGTCTCTGTGTCTTTATTGTAAAGTTGATGTATAAAGGAGTTACCATTATGCAAGTCAGGTAATGAATACATTTCTGTTTTTACAATGTTACCCAGTTTTTCCCTCCCTGCCCCACCCACAGGTTGTATGCTTCATTTTTCCCATGGTGTCCAGTATATACCACTGCTGCATTTGTCAGGGTGATTTACTGAACATGATGATCTCCCCTTCCTCCCGTATTCCTAACCTAAATATATAATTGCATTTTCAAGAATCAATTGTGTCTGTGTGACTCCATTTACTTTTTCCATTCATATGTTAATTGGAACAGAGCCTGGTTCTTCAACTTAGCTTCTAAGTAGTGTCATGATAAACACTCATTATATGTAAACATAGACATAACAAACACCCATACCATTATGTGTCTGTAATCTGCATGTAATATTTTATCTTTTGTCATGTTATGTTACCAAAGGAGTTATAACATTCCTTTTGGCAACATCCCCACTAGCATTTGTTATTATTAATTTTCTTGATAATCAATCAACTTATTTAATACCAATTATTTTATAATAAGCTCTATTTTATGAAACTGAAGGTGTACTCATACCATCTGCTACTTACTTGAATATTTTGTGGTTATAAAAGTGAAATTTTTGCTTCTTAAATCATTTTTATCCAAGTGAAACAAATTTGTTTCATCAATTCCCTTTCTCAAGGCTTTCATTTACTAACTTCCCTCTTCCTTTACATTTCCTTATTTCTTTACTGAGTTTTTTTTGTCAGTCATGGGACTTGAACTCTGTGCCTGGGTGCTGTCCCTCAGTCTTCAGCTGAAGGAGAGTGCTCTACCACTTGAGCCACAGCAGCATTTTTTGTTTTCTGGTGGTAAATTGGAGATAAGAGTCTCACGGAGTTTCCTGCCTGGGCTGGCTTTGAACTGTGATCCTCAGATCTCAGCCTCCTGAGTAGCTAGGATTAAAGGTGTTAATCACTGGCACCTGGATTCCTTACTGAGATTTTAAAAATTACATGTTTAATTAAGTCTTTTAAAACATTGTTCCTAAAATGACACTTTTTAAAAGTAGTTATCCTTAGACAAACTGGTTGTAAGTGGATATTTCCCATTTGGTTTTAAAGCAAAGAGTACAGGAGAATCACATGTAAACTGACATTGCAGTAAGAGTCCAAACTTAACAAACTTGAGGGATCTCAGACCATTTCTCAGTGTTTTAAAAATGCAGTTGCATTTTAAAATAGTTGCATCACTTTACATATCATTCTTGTAACTTTCATTGGGTAATATTTGAAGGAAAGCAACTTTTAGTTAGAAACACTAAAACAATCATACATTTTACTGTGTAAAGAATTGAGCAATAATAATAATAATAAAAGAATTGAACAATAGCTGGGAGCAGGTGGCTCATGCCTGTAACCCTAGCTACTCAAGAGGCTGAGATTTGAGGATTGCAGTTCAAAGACAGACCAGGCAAGAAACTCCATGAGACTCTTATCTCCAATAAACGACTCAGAAAACCAGGAGTGGTGCTGTGGCTCAAGTTGTAGAGTGCTTGCCTAGGCTCAGAGTTCAAGCCCTATGACGGACCAAAAAAAAAAGAATTGAGTAACAAATTAGGTTTTACATTGAAGTAAATATGTAACCAAAGCCAAGAAAATTTAAACCTAGGTGCTTCTTTTTTTCTTTGTCCAAAAGGAAACCACAATGGGAAAAACATGTATGCAGAGCAAATTGCACATTATCTATCTGAACCATATTTATAAGAAAGTAGAAAATCTGAACACACACTCCACTATTGTTTTGCCAAAGGAGTCCTGGGGGGAGAAGTGGGGGAGAAGATGGCAAATATGAGTTTGGATGATTTAGTATTGCCAAGAAGAGGCAAAATAAGTGAGGAAAAATAAGAAAACCATAAAACTCAAGCCAATTTTCTTTCCTTTGGATGTTCTCACAGCCTGTTAGAGAATTTCTACCTCCTATCCCTTTGGCTGGTGGAAGCTGCCAGTACATTGCCAAGAGACTTCCGAATCACAGTACCCAGTCAGCTTGGTCCATGAATCAGTTCACCACCTGTTAGAGCAGGAGTGCGGCTTCTGCTTCTGGGAGCTTCCAGTTCCACCCCTACCAGGCCAACCAACCTAGGGCGCAGGCTTCACTGCGTGCATCAAGCAGTCCCCAGACATGACAACCAGAGTATCTGAGCTGCCCAGTTCCTGCGCATGGTTTGGTGCCTCTGGGGGAAGATGGGGCTCAGGGTCCTGTTCTCTAAGGGGAATGATACTCCCAGCATCCCCTGGGGCATGGGGCAGTGAGCATCATCAGGAAGAAAACTTGGGCCTTGAGCATGAGGGGCTGCACCTGGTTCTGGAATACAACAGGGCTTTGCCCATGTCTGGGTGCAGGTTCAGCAGCACCAACTTGGGGCAGATCCTGAGCAGCAGGCCCAGAGAGCACGGGTGGGATCCATAGCCTATTCCTGCTATTCTGGCCCTTCTCCGGGTTGAGGTGTCTCACCTACCACGTGTGGGCTTCTCTTTTTTTTTCTCCTGATCAGGCGGATTTGGTTGGTTTTCATTGAATATATTGGGTTTTTTTTTCTCTCCCCCCTTTTTATTTCCTGGTATCTGCTGAGCCTCTTACATCATTTGTACTGCCCACAGTGGCATCCACAGACATCACTTACTTAAAAAAATTAAAGACAGGATTGATGGTTTTGAGTTGGGTGGTGGAAAGAAAATGGAATTAAAAAATTAATTTATGGAAAAAGTGTTTGTGTGTGTGTGCGTGCGCGCACGAGCACGGGGGGGGGGGGGGGCGGGAGGAGGTGGGGGGTGTCGGGACGGGTGGTGCCAGACCTGGAAGTCAGGACCCAAGCTCCTTTTCTTGGCTTTGTAATTCACAAGTGGCATTTTACCATTTGAGAAATAGCTCGAGTCCCTTATTTTCACTTGTAAGTTAAAGATGGAATATTATAGACTTTTCTTTCCATGATAGTTTTGAACTGTAATAATCAGATCCAAGTCTTC